AATCGACATACTATCGTCCTCGGGAATATCAAGAATAACAAAGTCCATTAAGATAGTAACGTTTGCAACCACAACATGCACATCCTCACAAATACCGACAGGTATAGCGGTTGATTTATCGACCATTTGCAAAGATATTTCAATAGGTGTCAACTTATTCAATTCAAGTCTACGATATAAAGAGAGAGGCATAACACTAACACCGGCTCCAAGATCACATAAAGCAGTTTTAACATAGTTTATTTTAATGGAGCATGGTATAGTTGGTACTCCTGGATCTCCTAGTTTCTTTGGTATTCCACCCTTAAAAGTATAATTAGCAAGCATGGTGGAAATTTCAGCTTCCGGTATCTTTCTTTTATTTGTAACAATATCTTTCATGTACTTAGCATAAGGATTCATTTTAAGCATATCAGTAAAACACATACGCAAAAAGATAGGTCTAATCATTTCAGCAAAGCGCTCAAAATCCTCATCATCCTTTTTCTTGGATGGTTTAGGAGGAAAAGGCATGGGTTTCTGAACCCATGGTTCTCTTTCTTTACCGTGCTTCCTAGCAACAAAGTCTCTCTTATCATAACGTTGATTATTTGATTGTGGGTTATCAAGATCAACAGTAGGTTCAATCTCTACATCATTGTTATTGCTAGGTTGAGCATCAACATGAACATTATCATTAACATTATCACTAGGTTCATGTTCATCACCAGATTGTGTTTCAGCATCAGAAATAGAAATATCATTAGGATTATCAGGTGTGTCTACAACAGGTTCACTAGAAGCATGCAAAGTCCTATCAATTTTTGTTTTCTTCTTTTTAGAAGGACTAGGTGCATCGTCATTATTTCTCTGAGAATCTTGCTCAATTCTCTTAGGGTGGCCCTCGGGATACAAAGGTTCCTGCGTCATTCTACCACCTCTAGTCAAAACTCTAACAATATTATCATTTTTCTTATCATTTAATTCATTGAGCAAATCATTTTGAGCTTTAAGCACTTGTTCTACTTGAGTGGTAACCATAGAAGCATGTTTACTAATAAGTTTAAGTTCACCTTTAACTCTAGACATATAATCACTCAAGTGTTCAATCATATAAGCATTATGTTTCAATTATCTACCAACATAAGCATTGAAGTTTTCTTGTTTAAAAATAAAATTATCAAACTCATCTAAGCATTGGCTAGCAGACTTATAACGAGGAATATCACCTTCATCAAATCTATAGAGAGAATTTACCTTTACTACCTGTGTCGGGTTATCAAGACCATATATTTCTTCAATAGGCGGTAAATTATTAACATCTTCAGCTTTAATACCCTTTTTTCATAGATTTCTTTGCCTCTTGCATATCTTTAGGACCGAGAAATAGAACACCTCTTTTCTTCGGAGTTGGCTTAGGAGTTGGTTCAGGAAGTGTCCAATTATTTTCATTAGTCAACATATTATTCAATAGCAATTCAGCTTGATCAACAGTTCTTTCCCTGAAAACACAACCAACACAACTATCCAGGTGGTCTCTGGAAGCATCGGTTAGTCCATTATAAAAGATATCAAGTATTTCATTTTTCTTGAGAGGATGATCAGGAAAAGCATTAAGTAATTGGATAAGCCTCCCCCAAGCTTGTGGAAGACTCTCTTCTTCAATTTGCACAAAATTATATATTTCCCTTAAAGCAGCTTGTTTCTTATGAGCGGGGAAATATTTAACAGAAAAGTAATAAATCATATCCTGGGGACTATGCACACAACCAGGATCAAGAAAATTAAACCATATTTTAGCATCACCCTTTAATGAGAATGGAAATAACTTAAGGATATAGTAGTAACGAGTTTTCTCATCATTAGTGAATAGGGTGGCTATATCATTTAACTTGGTAAGATGTGCACAACAGTTTCAGATTCATAGCCATAAAAAGGATCGGATTCAACCTAATTATCTCAGGATCAACAGAGAAATCATAATCCTTGTTAGTAATACAGATAGGTGAAGTAGCAAAAGCAGGGTCATATTTCATTCTAGCATTCAGAGACTTTTCTTTCAGCTTAGCTAATAATTTTTTAAGATCAGATATATCATTGCAAGCAAGAAAATCTCTAGCAGTTTCTTCATCCATAACATAACCCTCAGGCATAACAGGCAATTCATATCTATGGGGAGAATCTTCATCATCACTTTCATCAATATTATTAGTTTCAATAATTTCATTCTCTCTAGCCCTAGCAAGTTGTTCATCAAGAAATTCACCTAGTGGCACAATATTATCAAGCATAGAAGTAGTTTCATCATAAGTATCATGCATAGCAGAAGTGGCATCATCAATAACATACGACATATCAGAATTAATAGCAGAAACAGGTTTAGGTGTCGCAAGTTTACTAAAAACAGATGGTGAATCAAGTGCAGAGCTAGACGGCAGTTCCTTACCTCCCCTCGTAGTTAAGGGAAAAATCTTAGTTCTCTCGTCTTTCAAGTTCCTCATAGTGATCAGCAGATATAAATCCCAAGTGACTCAAAGAACAGAGCTATGCTCCCCGGCAACGGTGCCAGAAAATAGTCTTGATAACCCACAAGTATAGGGGATCGCAATAGTTTTCAAGGGTAGAGTATTCAACCCAAATTTATTGATACGACACAAGGGGAGCCAAAGAATATTCTCAAGTATTAGCAGTTGAGTTGTCAATTCAACCACACCTAGAAAACTTAATATCTGCAGCAAAGTATTTAGTAGCAAAGTAATATGGAAGTAAGGGTAATAGTGGCAAAAGTAACAGTAGCAGTTTTGTAGTAATTGTAACATTGGCAACAGTAAAGTAACTAAGCAAAGAGCAATATGTGAAAATCTCGTAGGCATTGGATCAATGATGGATAATTATGTCGGATGCGATTCCTCATGCAATAGTTATAACATAGGGTGACACAGAACTAGCTCCAGTTCATCAATGTAGTGTAGGCATGTATTCCGAATATAGTCATACGTGCTTATGGAAAAGAACTTGCATGGCATCTTTTGTCCTACCCTCCCGTGGCAGCAGGGTCCTATTGGAAACTAAGGGATATTAAGGTCTCCTTTTAATAGAGTACCAGACCAAAGCATTAACACTTAGTGAATACATGAACTCCTCAAACTATGGTCATCACCGGTAAGTATCCCGATTATTGTCACTTCGGGGTTAACGGATCATAACACATAATAGGTGACTATAACTTGCAAGATAGGATCAAGAACTCACATATATTCATGAAAACATAATAGGTTCAGATCTGAAATCATGACACTCGGGCCATAGTGACAAGCATTAAGCATAGCAAAGTCATAGCAACATCAATCTTAGAACATAATGGATACTAGGGATCAAACCCTAACAAAACTAACTCGATTACATGGTAAATCTCATCCAACCCATCACCGTCCAGCAAGCCTACGATGGAATTACTCATGCACGGCGATGCGCATCATGAAATTGGTGATGGAGGATGGTTGATGATGACGACGACGGATTCCCCTCTTCGGAGCCCCGAATGGACTCCAGATCAGCCCTCCCGAGAGAGATTAGGGCTTGACGGCGGCTCCGTATCGTAAACCGCGATGAATCCTTCTCTCTTATTTTTTTCTCCCCGAACGTGAATATATAGAGTTAGAGTTGAGGTCGGTGGAACACCAGGGGGCCCACGAGGCAGGGGGCGCGCCTAGGGGGGTAGGCATGCCCCCCACCCTCGTGGACAGGGTGTGGGCCCCCTAGCCTTGATTCTTTTGCTAGTATTTTTTATTAATTCAAAAAATATTCTCCGTGGGGTTTCAGGTCATTCCGAGAACTTTTATTTCTGCACAAAAATAACACCATGACAATTCTGCTGAAAACAACGTCAGTCCGGATTAGTTCCATTCAAATCATGCAAGTTAGAGTCCAAAACAAGGGCAAAAGTGTTTGAAAAAGTAGATACGATGGTATTAAATAAGGCTTGCTCCTGGTAAGTAAAAATTACTCACCCAACCTGCACTATGGATCCTTGGTCAACCTAGTACATGGGATTCAGTTCGTCTGATGGTGAAGGTTGTTGCTCCAGTTTTTGCTACTACTAGGTTCTTGCTTGCCTAAAAAAAGGTTCTTGCTTACTATGCATGTTCACAGACAACCCTGTATTGCAATAGCACGTTTGTCAAACTGCCTTTTTTAGGCCAGATGAAAATTGCATCTCTCCTGTTATGCTAGCAAAAGTTGGTTCTGAACTTGTGCTAACACCTTTACAACAACATCAAGGTTCCCTGAAATAAAGCAACTTCTCTTTGTTTTCTCCTTTGCATGGCGATCCAACTGAATTACACAAATATTTTTCTCCCTCAGACCTGTTTGAAAGATGAGTATTTCATAGTAAAGGGTTTCAGTATTTAGCCCACAAATCTGTTTGGGAAGAAAATGGAGAAAATAAAAAAGGCAACAATGGGACTTCTCTTTGTTTTTCTTCTTTGCACTGATCCTCGATAAGCTCCACAACCACTGAACTCAACCCTGGGCAACCATCCTCGTCGCCTTGTTCATTTAGCTATGACCCATTTTTAGATTGTTGGACGGCCAATCAATACCCAGTAATGTTTCATTTCACCATGGTCTTACATATACTAGCTAGTAATTAGTTTTCCATCAAGCTCCTCAATGTACTAGTATGTGCTACCTGGTTATCACATGAAGAATTTGATAAGCATTTATTTACACAATCACATTAACATGAATAGATAAATTATGAGGTAAAGCACTAAAATATTCATCCGCAAAAAGAAAAAACTAAAATATTTATATTTCCTTGCAGCACACGTGCATTGTTCTAGTTTAACGAAAAACAACGAGAGTGCTCTGTGCTCCCATTTTCACTGTCCACCACACGTCTCCCTTCTTCGCGCGTACGCCGCTTTGGTTTCATCTTCCTCGCTGCTCTTTCCCGATTCAAAACTCCACCCCCTTTCTTCCCTCCCCTCCTCTCCCCAACCCCCCCAAACCCTATCATGTCCTCCTCTACCGACGCCATGGCGTCGCCATGCTCCCATGATCAATTCGACGGTAAGCCCCTCTCCCCACAGCCCATCCCTAACCCTAACCCCAGCCCAAATCCTAACTCCGCCGCCTCCCGCCCCAGAACCAGACCGTGGCACGGTGCTGAACTACATTTTCCAGGCGGCCTCCGACGATGAGCTCTCCATCTTCAAGGGTACGCTGCCCCCGTCCCAGATTCCGGCCCTGATCCAGTTTTGGAGTTCGAGTGCTAACATTTTGGGGGGCCCAATCCGGTGCAGAGCTGGTCACGATAATACTGGACAATGGCAGGGGCCGCCCCAAGGAAGCGATTGAGGAATTGAGGGTGGAAGATGTCGGGCAGCTTGAAGGTTTCAGTGCGCTGCACATCGCGGCCAGTAAAGGGAGTCTGGAGGTGTGCAGGTACCTCGTCGAGGAGCTGCTGGTAGATGTGGATCTGGTCGACAAGGAAGGTCCATCTATCTTCAGAACCCCAATCTATTGGTTTAGGACCCTGCGCACACATTCAGTGTAGGTTTTGTCAAATTGTATGAAGTGCTATTTTACATGCTGGATTTATTGTTCACAAGGGTTGCTGATCTGTGAGTCTCATGATATCTGACTGTTTTTCTTGCTTTCTCTGGGTTTGGCATAGAGGTGCATTATGATAATCCAGCTTTTCGAACCAGCTTTTGCCGTGGCTCCAAGCTCAGCACAACACAGTCCAGCAACCATAAACAGAGCCTAAGATTATCTACATCAGTATGAACCAATGTATCATAAGCAGCAATATTTATCTCACAAAATAAAATTATGATTTATCATATTCTGTTGTGCTAACTCATGATCATGCAGCTTCATATGAAATAAATCTGTCTTTTTAAGGGAAGAAATAAGCCGGGCTTAATTATGATACTGAATGTGAATACCCTACATAGGCACCGCTCATATAAATAATTAAATAGGCTACTCTTTGAGGGCAAATCTTTATTTTAGGGTAATTTGGTTGTTTAATTATTGCACATATGTATGCACTCCAGCTCTGAGGATGCATTTGATTCTTCTATTCGGGTAGTCTAATGTCCAATTTTCATGTGTCAGTTCCATTTAATCAATACTCTCTCGAGCATTATGAAAATCCTGCTTCATATTGTATCTAATTCGATGGGTCTACTTTGTGTGTCTTGGGGAGCCATATCTAAATTCCATGCTCTCAGAGAAGACAGAGCAGTGTTAGGAAACTTCTGTGGTGAGATGCTTTTGGAGATAAGACATACTTTGATACAAAAAAGATCACATTTCTTGCTACACCGAGAAGTGCGTTGATATAATTTCATTTTTATCTGTTTGTCTGCTTTATAGGTAGAACACCTCTGTTGTTTGCAACATACCACAATGGGGGTACTGCCGAATATCTTCTTGATCATGGCGCTAATCAAGACAAAGCTGATCACGATGGGTCTACCCTGTTACATTATGCCGCTGAATTAGGTCCACCTCTATAAACACATATCTCTGTTCTGCATCTCTGCATTGCAAATTGTTTTCTGTTATCTTATTCAGAGCTATTTGCCTTTGTTTCATATAGTAATTTACTAATATTGTTCTTGTGCTAATAATTTATCTTCAAATCTGATGGTTAAGTTCTTGTGATGTGTCTCTCTATTCGGAAGTACATGTTGTTTTAGACTATTAGGCTGGTTGAGAATGCACGACATATTAGGTTTCCAAGTAGAAGTTTGGTGGTATTTCCTGATATACTCTTAGCTGTACTAAATAATAATCTTGCACACACTTCTAGTCAAAGTCATCGATATATTTATGTTTAGCCATTAGCCAAAGTTCTACCATCTGCATGCATGTATTGCATCAAACCAGGGCTCTTTGTGTAGCATAATTACTAATATTTTGAACACTTTAACATGGATATAATGTCCATTAGCTGTTGTGCATGTGCAATATCCTAAAATGTGACCTAATTGGGAAGTCAAATAACCTAATACATGTCACTATAATTCCAGTCTTACATGGGTGTGGTGTGACAACAATCTGATAACTGGCTTAATAATCTGGTTACCAAGTGGCTATAATCGATAACCTGACAAGCAAGTGGCTCTAACCTGGCAATTAGTAACTAAATAAAGTTACTGAAACATATGTCGTGGGATCTAGTTTCGACGGTATCATTACAGCAAAGCCAACAATGAGCAGTTGAGCACAGATCGTCAATCGGATACACGATTTGAGAGATAGATAGAGAGAGGGAGAGGTAGGAGAGGGAGAGAGAGAGGTGCAGGACGGGAAGGCTCTGGTGCAATGCTGCTACCTAATCTAGTCCTTTTATTTTTTCATTCTCTCTTATTTCTCTTTGTGTGTTCCCTTTCAGGGATCTTTTCCTCGCGAGACTGGCTTATTTGGTTTCTCATATTACATTCTTACATAGAGATAAAAATACCTTGCATACTAACTAGATCCATAAAACCAGAATTGTTGTGTTTGTGAACCAATCTCCTGTTACTGAATTGGAGAGGTCCATGCTGCACTTTGGGAAGTAGGAAGTAGTGAACTGTGAACCTGATGAACCATGAATCTAGTAACCATGCTGTAGATCATGGTCTTATCTTATTGAATATCCCCCTTGATGAGAATTAGGCCCCATCCCTAAATACCCCTATTAAAAGTTAACTTAACTATGATTTTTTTGGCTTTTATTCCTTCCAATCCAAACAATGAAACAAGTCCGCATTGTTTTTTTTTTGTAGCACATGATCAAGGCAAGCACAGGTCCAGGATACACCAGAAACAAAAGAAATTGTCACAAAAAAATACCTATCATCTTACCTTACAAGCTCATGGATTCTTTTTAGAAGAGATTGCCAGAAAACACCTCTCCTCTTTGTAACAAGTTCTGTGTTTTCTTCCAGGCAATTGTGAAATGGTAGAGCTTTTGCTTGCAAAAGGAGCTTATGTTGAGCCGGTATCTGCTTGTGGAACACCACTTCATGTTGCTGCTGGTAAAGGGCATTATGGTGCTATGAAGATTTTACTGGACCACAATGCAGATGTAAGTTCAAGTACATACCATTTCTGCCTCAAGTTACCCTACATGTTTCAACTTTAATTATTTGTGTTTTGCAATTTTTTTCCCTCGGCTTGTCATGTTCTATTTAATTGATTGTGTATGGTTGCTTGATGCTGCTATGGTGTTTGTGCTACATAGTTAACTCTTGAAATCATCAGTACATTTTTCTTCTCTTCTGCATGCCCCTAGTTGTGTAGTTGTTGTAATGCTACATCTCATCATAGTGTCTTGGTAATAAGCATTGAAGTGCTTCATCCACTTCCCTTTCAAATCCATAGTCTTCTGCGTGTCTTTCCCTCATATAACATTTCCCTGTTGGCTCATCCATCTTCCCAAATAAGCTGTGGGTGTGACCGTGTGAGGGCGCCGTTGCCTCCCAAATCATTCTCACTGCCGGCGTCATGCATCATCATATTCCTTTTCTGGTTGTGGTTCCATATTCACGTTGTAGTAACTTATCTTCTTGATGGCTGCATTGCTTTTGTTGGGGTTAGAGATCCTAATGACTGGCCGGTGATGATTAAAAGATTGAATCCTTCTTGAAACAAAATAGTCTGAATCTGTAAACTAGAATGGCATGCTCCATTAATATTGTGGCAATTTAATTCACATTAGATTCGTATGAGCAGAAAGGCAGTATACCCATGCAATGCTGCTTGCAGATTCCATGTAAAAATCATAAATAAATGCTATGTGGTGGTAATCGTGGCATTATCTTTGGACCATAGGAGCATGTATGTGGGCTCAATGGCATTAGGGCCTGATTACCAATATAATCTTGACAAATATAACATTCTAACTGATTTTACAGTGGGTGTACCGAATCAGTTTTCTTTGCTGAAAGCTTGCTTCATCAGTTTGTTCTATGTATTGACCATTGGAGTTGACATCTTAATATTTCTCCAGTACAACAAGATGGTAAATGGCGTGACACCTCTTATTGTTGCTACAGATGCCAAGTCAATGAAATGTATCAAGCTCCTAGTTAAGGTGTTGTACATAATCTGAGCTTTGTCAAGTCCATGAATTTTGTTGGGTACCCATTTTCTATGTTTATTTTCCATACTGAATTTGTTTTTTCTTACTTCCTTTTCTGGCATTTGTTTTTCATACTGGCTGCAGCTTTGGCACGCTGCAATTTGTGATTGTGACCCCTTGTACCGGACACTTTCTTAACCATTTTTTTTCTGAAAAAACTTGTGCCATCAATTTGGTCGCTATAAGCATGATGATAACAAGTCAAACCAAAACAACCCAGTTGACCTTGAGCATTCATAGGCAGTGCCATTAAGGTCGTATTCATTCCTGAAAGTGCAAAAATATGAAACCCAGGCCATCTGTAATAGAGATCTGTACCTTTTTTTCGTCTGTGATAGGCTGGTGCCAATCTCAAGGAAGCTGCAGCATATACAACTCTCCACGCGGAAAAAGTGGTTTCAGATTACTTTCTCAATTGCATAATGGAGGACGTTGATGCCAACCGTGATGTTCCTTTTGATGTGAGATTAATCTCTTCGCTACTACTTGCAAAAATTGTTCTAAGAATGTGCTTAAGGTAAAATACAGTAGGAACTCATCATCGTGTTCCTAGTTTGTAAAGATGACATTCTGCCTTCCCCATAAGTAGCTGAGGTATTGTGGCTGGGGAAGACATCTGCATATGTGCCATGTTGATATCATTAATAGTTACCTAAACATGGTACCAGTTTATGACAATTTTGCCGGTAATATTTGTACTTGCAATACTGAGCATGGATGTTAAGAGATTATAACGAGTACTCGTAATATTAGGCTTGTGCAGTCATAGAAATTTGAGAAGAGATATGCTTATGTAATCAAATCCTTTCCCCCCTTATATGTACAGCAAAATTTCAGGCAGTTCGTTCATATTTTATATATCGAATGCATCCTGCATAGAATTGATTTAATTGATGTTCTGTATGGTTCAGCAGGGGCCTATGCTTAAACGGGAAATCGTGACATCAGGGCTTATATCACGAGGGAGCAACTCTTTAAAGAACAAGGATTATGTTGTCGCAGCAAAATTGTACAGTAAGGTATGTTAAAGCACCATATATTTCTTGCCGTGTTTAGCGTTCCAGCATTTCATTTTACGTTGCATGCATTATAGTGGCCTGGAACCTGCATAGCTCCAGTCTGAAAATATTTGAGGTTCACAACTTCATATATGATTTCGAAAGGATCGTATCCTGGTTTCGCATTAATTGTTGAATGCATAGTCCGAAGTAATACTTTTGGACAACAATATGCCAAAAATACCTGGAGCTCCACATGGAGCTGGTGTCGTTTATCAAAACCTTGAGTCATGGGAAGGTTCCTACTGAAAGGGTCCAGAGCGTAGACTCCAGCTGGCTTTGTTATTTCTATAATAACTTAATCAGATTTTGTTCAGAATCGGGTTCAGCTGATAGTATGCAGTGTATTTCTTTTTGTTGCTTTGGTCATGTATCTTCTCAATTTTGTGGTGCAAAGCACTCATTTTGTGATAATGGATATGGACTTTGCGATATTCTTGTACTTCCACTCTGGTATAGACAGGAAAAATAGTGTCACCTTGATGACTGGTGCAATTTATTTGAGGATGTGATTATGATTTCTGTGTATTGACCATTTTTTTGCCAGACAACTATATTATTGTTTTGGAGTTGTGTTGCCTTTCTTGCACTTGTCTAAAACACAGGGATGACCCACTTTGTTTTTTTGTCTCAATTAATAAAGACTGCATTTTTTTGGTCTGACAGTAGTTAGTCGGGAAGAAAACACACAAGGAGGACTGGAATGAACGAGTGGGCTGATGTTAAAGCAAGCTGTTTAATATAAGTTACTCCCTCCGTCCCAAAATTCATGTCGCGGCCCCACTTCATTGGCAAAGTTGCAGAACAACCCTCGCAATTGGAAAAGTGTGACAAATAGACACCTCCGCCACATCTTCCTCCGCTTGTGCCCCGCACGATTGCCAGGGGCCGGCGCCGGCCAGCCGCGATTCCGTACGGGCGTCGCCGCCGCCGCCGCCCAGACCTGCTCTGCCGTCTCCCAGATCTGCGCCGCCGCCGCCCAGACCTGCTCTGCCATCGCCCAGATCTGCGCCGCCGCCCAAAACTGCTCTCCCGCGTGTCCTCGATCTCCCGCTGCTGCTTCTCCTCAAGCTCCGGCGACTGCTTCTCCTTGAGCTCCGGCTGCTGCTTCTCCTCGAGCCCCCGTTGCTGCTTCTCCTCGAGCTCCCGCCGATGGAGCTCTGCTGTCTCCCGTGCTTCTCCCGTGCCCGAGCTACTGCTGCTGCTGCTCCTCTGCACTCTGAAGATACAGAGTAAATTCAATCAAATTCACTGTTAATTTTGGAGCAAATCAAAATAAGACAAGATTGCTGGGATGTTTGTTCGCTTCGGCCGTGCTCAAATCTCATATGCCAACCAGAGTTTGCTCCAGTTCCTCCTAGACATCAAAATACTGAACTGATGGCCAATTTTATTGAAATTCACACTCTATCTTAATTTATCAATTGGGTAACTGCACAATTGTGTCTACTGCTGCTTCGGACACTGTGAGAATCTTAATTTATCATGTGCACATAGGCCACGGCCAGACGCAAATCTGTGAATATGGAAGAACAACTAATATATGGATTAAAGATACTCTGCTTTCTTTTTGGTTAGTTGCCCTGTTTCATTTCTTTCTAAAACAGTGTCTATCTTTAGGTTCTAGCACATCTAAGTAATGTGGCCAGTGTCAAGTAAGCAAGAAACAAAGGTAATTCTGTTCAATTTCAAATTCAGTAGCACAAGCATAACCAATACAGATGCTGAGATAAACAATTGGTGTGAACGAAATAATTTCAGACAAACATCACATAATGTACTGCATATTCAACTCAAAATTTAACTGAAGATTTAACTGAAAATGTACTGAAGATTTAACTGAAATCCAGTGCAAATTAGTGAAAAAAATTCAGTACAAACCATACACTCCACAAAATTCAGTAGATGTGCTGCTGTAGAACTGTTCCCGCTTGTGATGTCTTGGAAATTTATTCAGAAGTTTGCCATGTCGTACTCTCATTAATTGAGTTGAGAGAAAATGATGCATAGTCCATGAGTAAATGCCAAGATCCAAGATACTTACATGCATGCCTTCTTGGCTGTAGTTCCTTTTCCTTTCTTTAATTTGTTCAGATTGTAAATAAAGAGAGCACTGATTGTAAAAAAAGAATAGGTAGTTATCTGACTGAATCTAAGAATAGGTAGTTAGGTAAAAAAAAAGGTAGTTTACTTTAAATGAATCAGTTTACTGAATTAAGTGCCTGGTGTATATGAATTGAAAAATAAATTCAGTTTACTGATTTTGGAGTAAACTGAATTTTATGTGCATAGCAGCCTTTCTTTGCCAACTGAGTGAATTTTGAGATAGTACAAATCTTACTAACATGTCGGATTTGGGTTGCCTATGTGTCCTGGATGTACTAGTAATCATCTTTTTAAAAACTTAACAAAGTTCATGATTCAGAAATTCCAATGGTTCAGAACTTAAGTGATTCAGAACATGATTTAGTAACAAGGTTCATAACTTAAATGTTGTCTCCAACTTAAATTCAGTAACAAGGGAGAGGAAAAAACCTTTTGCTGCTGCTGGAGGAGAACGGAGGAGGGCGGTTGCTTGGTTGCAAAACGTGACCACAGTCACGACGTTGGGCGTTGTTTCGTTAGCAGTTCATGGGATCGGATGACCAAGGGTGCACATCATATGCCTGTGAAGATCAGCAAGCAAGTGGTGTGGTCAAACGAATTGGTGATGAAGTAGGGGATACATACAAGTTGCACAAAATGTTCAGAACCAACAACCCAAAGGAACATACAGAACTTTGCAAGTTGCAACTGAAAGGGCCAGGCCACCTAAGCAACTGCAAGTGTTCTGCTGCATCACCGGACAGCAAGACAGTCACCAAATCTCCAGGCCCGTACTGCTGCAACTGCAACTGCAACTTCAAATTTTTCAGTTTTACTCAAATTTCAGTCAAACATTACAGTTTGGGGACAACTTGGGGACAGTTTGGATCCTCACCTTTGCTCTGTCGTCGCGGGCAGTGCTGGTTGCTGGGCGGCGAAGGCGGGGATGGTTGCTGCTGCCGACGGGGGAAAGTGGAGAGCTTCTGCCGACTCCAGGGAGGTGCGCGGGGGAGCGAGATGGACGAGGTTGGCGGCGAGGTGAAGGAACTGGCGGGTACCGGCTTCGTGGTCTACGATGGCCAGCCGACGAGGAGGTGGTTGACGACGGGAAGGGCCAGCTCCGGCTCGCCAAGCTCGGGAAAGGCCGCCGCCGCCGGAGAGCAGATCGAAAACAAAAATCGAGCCTTCTCCTTCCCGTGATTCACCATGGGGAACGAATAAGGGAACAAGGAGAGGGAAGCGCGGTGGAGGCGTGGGGCGGGGGAGCTTCGGCGACGCGCGGTGGAGCTGAGCAGGGGACCTCCGGCGCGCAGGGGAGACGAGCGAGGGAGACGACCAGGGAGTGCGGGTTGTGTCGGGAATTCGCTGAGGGGGTTTTCGTAAAAGTGCCACTGCGACATGTTTTTCGGGACGGAGGGAGTACTTAGTTGAAAAGTTACTCTGCAGCTATGTGCAGATTTCTTGTTAGGACTAGAATGAACGTGTACTTCAACATTGTGCTATATAATTAGTAAATGTATGTTAGGCTGGCTTTTGTAGACTTGCTAATTTGTATTTTATGTAGCTTAGTATGAATTTATCTGCAGCTATGTGCAGATTTCTTGTTTGAGTGTTCACAGCTTCCTAACTGTTTTTTACATTCAGTTAACTAATTCATTTTTTGTTAAAAAGACTTAGTAAGCTCAATTGTCGATTTGTCTTGTGTGACGTAGGCAATGGTGCTTGATCCTGATGATGCAGTCTTGTTCTCAGACAGGAGCCTTTGTTGGCTTCAACTGGGTGATGGAAAAAAGGCTTTGCTAGATGCTAATAGATGCAGAAAAATGCGGCCTCACTGGCCAAAAGCTTGTCACCGGCAGGGTGAAGCTCTGATGCTACTGAAGGTTACATAGAGGATATGGCTGCCTTTTTCTCCTGGTGCTGCAAATAGTTTATGATCGTTCACCTGGTCTTTTATCATCAGGACTATGAGGGCGCAAGTGAACGGTTCTGGGATGGACTCAAGTTGGACCCAGTGGACACTGATATCGAGGATGCATTACGGTAAACCCATCTGCCTCTTTGGTTACACTAATGCCTTTGACGATGTCCTTGCATTGGCGGCTGGCTGGCCGTGTTTCAGCACATCTCAAGCAGTGTTAGCTATATGTTGAACACTTCTTTTTTTGCGAGAATATATGTTGAACACTTGCCTATGCTGCAAGTACATGCATGTGCCCTTGTCATGGGACTGTGGAGAACTTGTGAAGATATTGACTATAACTCCGTTCTATTTTGTGTTTGTTAGGATTTCGGAATGCCACTTTGTACTGTCATCGATGCCAATGCCATCTTGCCATATACCAACCTAACCTGACGTATAGTAACTCCATGATCTGCCCTTCAGTAGTATTTTACTGAAAGTATTTAGAAAGAGGCATGCATGTCATATTCATTATCAATATATATTGTCTTGCAATGGCGCCTAAATTACAAGTGCCAGACATAGCAATGCAAATATCTGATACTTCTCCTTGGACTATTCAGGGAAGCTATGAAGTCCTTGAAGACGTCTCGGTCTCGGAGCATGAGAGCCAATTGACTATTTGGGTGTTGCAGGGAATTCAGTTGAAGACTTGAAATGGGTCAGCAGGAGTTTCTACGTTTGCGCAAAGACTGTTTTCCGTTAGAAAGTAAAAGCGACATGTCTGACGGACCGTGGCATGACTGTTGATGCATGCAGTAGCAATACCCGGTGGAAACTCTCCAGTTGCCATCCATCGTGTATCAGGCTCTTCTGTCAGGTTTTTGGGTCTTCGACGAAGCTCACTCGTCTGCGGCGTCAACCGAATGATCGCAGCCTCCGCATTCGTCTTGTTGTGGTGTTGCTGAATTCCCCCACTGCCTAGTGTTTTTACTACTCACGTTGGTACAATGCAGTCACAATGGAGAAGAGGGTGATTATTTTGTTGGTTTTGTTCGTCCTGTGGGTGCAGAAGAAGAGGTGAGCTAGCAGGAGCTTGCTGGCTACGGTTTGGCGGCTGCTATCTGTCTTGTTTTTCTGAACTCGGTCGGTTGCTGTGCGAGGTGGTTCGGACCATGTAATGATGATTTCAGAAATCAGGGAGTAAATGGCAAAAACTACCGCTTTTTTTTTTAACCCTAGGCTTCCTATTCTGTTCTAGAAAAGAATATCCCCTTTGTCCGGAAATACTTGTCAGAGAGCAGGTCAAAAAGAAAAGAAAAGAAATACTCGTAAGAGAGATGAACGTATCTAGACGTATTTTTGTTCTAGATGCATCCATTTTCATCCATTTCTATGACAAGTATTTCCGGATGGAGGGAGTAGAACCTACCACTTGGAAGGCCTAACAAACGGTTACAGTTCTATGCTAATTAGTCATAAATTAATACCACTTCCATTTAGGGGCAGTGCTAGGGGTATTCTTGGTTCTTCATGTGAATACCCATGATTTTTGTAAAACAGTGTTGATTTTGGCAAAACAGTGATAATTTTTAAAAAACAACAATGATTTTGTCAAAATAAATACACATGAATACCCGGTTGCAAATTCCTGAAGCCGCCACCGCTTCCAGGTGAGTATTGAGGACTGCGCATTCCTCCCCATATAGCTTTTCTTCTCCAGCTTCGATGCCGAGCTCAGCTACCTTGTCCGCTAGCAATTCGCCATGGTTTCTTCTCCCCTTGCCTCCCGAGGACCCCTCTTTTAATTGCAGCTCTCCGTACCCTTGAGATTGCCTTCGTCTGCAAGCCCGCCGGCCGCCGCTTGGCATAGACGCTGCACTCGACTTAACGGAAATGGAGAAGAAGGGATTTGTGGAAAAAAAGTTTTTTTAGCGATTGACACGTGGGCCCTTTCTGTCATAACAGCCGACTTAATAGTTCAATTACGGGAGTTGGCTTTTGTGCTACATCAACTCTGATGGGTGAGCCAATGTTATCATAATTGTGCTTAGTTTGAACATAATTGGTCACTAAGAGCATGGTTAATAATACAACCAACTGCTGGCTATATGATGTTGCCATATCATCTACTTCCTCCGTTCCAAAATTCTTGTCTTAGATTTGTCTAGATAAAGATGTATCTAATACTAAAACATGATTTGATACATCTGTATTTAAACAAATTTAAGACAAAAATTTTAGAACGGAGGGAGTGTATATCCATCACTTATAGTCACTCATACAATAGTGTTAGTTATAAGATTGACTATAAAATTAATACCTTTTCTCATCTTCTATCTATCTCTTTCTTCACATCTAGTGCATCTGGAGGACGAGGCGTCGACCCGTTGGCTGGGCGGCTGGGGTAGCTGCCAGCCCACCTGAGTTCGAGTCTTGGCTCTAACACGCGGTGCTTGTGGAGTTTCTCCTATAAAAAAACCCAACAAAAACCAACGAGGGTTAGCTCTTGGGTTGGTCTCATTTTTTTTACATTTACTGCATCTGTCTAGAAGCACACTTATAGCTAGGCTCTTGCATGAGAGACCACTCCCCTTACCTTTTCATGTCTCTCTCCTCCATAAGCAAAATTACCATCTAAGTGGGCTATAAGCCTGCTATTGTACTTGCTCTAACAGGAAAGTCTCTGTTACTGTTGTCATAATTTCCGACGAATTAGTGCAAAATTGGTAGCATTTTGTTAGGTCTTTCAGTTGTGACAGTTTTCGCCGAGGGTTGCCACACAATTGATAGTTTTTTGCTATTTATTTGAAATTAGGAGAACCCTTTTCCCAAAAACAAAAAATAAAATTTCTCACGTTAGGGCCGCCTTGACTGACCTCTCTTCCTGTCTTGATAGGTGACTGGTTTTTAACTCCCATCCTTCTGGTGGGCATGAACACCCGTCCCGTGGTTGTTTGGGGGATTGGCGATCTTGCGTCACTGGTACAAAGGTAGTAGCAAAGTATCGAGTGGAATGGCTGGTTTGCACTTCAGGATTTGATCATGCATTTGTTGTTAATATGTACTCCCTCCGTCCGAAAATACTTGTTACAGAAATGCTTAAAAATGGATATATTCAGAACTAAAATACGTCTAGATACATCCATTCATCCGACAAGTATTTTCGGACGGAGGGAGTATATAGGGTCATGCGCTCCAGTTTTTCTCTTTTTTTTTGAATAAAAGGGGTTTCCCCCACCTCATTTTTATAAAACGAGGCCGCAAAAGGCCAGCATAACTGTTCACAACGCTCGAGCTCGAGCTTGAGACTACCCATAGTGGGAGTAACATAGGTAGTAACATCACACATATCTAGATAAAATAGATGATGTGACAAAAAATAAATAAAGAAAGAGAGGCATGTGTTAACATAGCTAGTTACTAATAGTATGTGTAACATCACACATATCAAGGCAAGATGAGTCTATAGCTTAATAAATGAAGTGTTGCATGTTACCACACATATGTTACTCCTTATTATAGAGGTAGTAACATAGAATAGTAACATGGGCATTATTACTACTCTATGTTATTACCCATTGTGGCTAGTCTGAGTAGCTGAGCCAGAAAATCCAAGAAAAAACTGAAAACATACGGACAAAGCAATTACAATAGTGCCCAACGAGGAAGGAGAAGTAGACCCTAGCTATTACTCCCTCCGTTCCAAAAGGAGAAGTAGACGTTAGTACATAAAGTTGAGTCATCTATTTTGAAATAGAGGAAATACATTCTATGATCAACTCCCCAACAAAGAGAGAGCTAGTTGGAGTGTGCTCGCAGGTCGAAGCCCCGTTTTCCTCTCTTCTTTCATGACTGAAAAATGAACAACATCAAACTCCTCCATCTTCTTTCTTAATATAATCGCTGCACTTTGTCCAAGGTAATGGCCCTTCAGATGGTTAATATATTTGTAGTTTTTATAAACAATGCCAATTTTCGGACTTGCAGAAAAACCGAAAGACAAAATACAGAGTTTTTCTTCAATGAACTGAAATTGTTGTTTTTATTAAGACGCAAAAAGAAGAAGACTCGAACATCTGCAACAGAAACTTTTTCAGTTTTTTTTGGCACATTTGAAAACACTTCTGCTTCGGTACAATCCCCCTAAACACAAGAAGGGCTCATAACATCTTACTCTAATACAGAACGCACTGACCAAGCAGGACAACTTACAATGGTGTCTGATTTCCATTTTTTCTCTTCTTGTACCTATAGAAGTGGCATGCTTGGCCGGCCCAACAGGCCCCAACAGCGTGTTGGGCCATGGCCGCCGCATTTTTTTATCCATTTTTATTTTTTCAGTATTTCATTTTTTCCTTTCTTGAGTTTAGTTAGTTTTTTTGTCACTATTTTCAGTAACTTTTGGGAATTTGTTAGCAATTTTAATAATTTTTTTAATGTTATTAACATTTTCATAAATAATTTGAATTTCCAAAATTATTGATAAATTAAAAATAAATGGTTAGAACATAAAATTTGTTCATGTTGATTCTTAATAATGGAAATTTTATATTTGAAATAACAAAAGCATTGAATTTAAGAAAATTGCGTGCTCACGGATGCAACCATCTAGGCTAGTCCGGCACCCTGTGCTTAACTGGTGTTTTTTTGCACTATGCATAAATGACCCTAACTTTCTGCGGTATCCTGACGTGGACATAATCGGAATCCATTCCTGATTCAAACAAGTTACGACACTGTCGGCATGTTGCAACATGTGTGGCCATTATATAGGCCGTTATTCACCGAAATAATTAAAAAATTTAAAAACTTGTCCTATGAAAGTACTGATTGGCATGGTGTCATAAAATGGTGATACATGGTGATGGGAAAAAATAGTGCATTTGACGGTTGTCGAAAAATGAGGTGTTCACAAATAGATCCGAACACCCTGTGTCTAACATGATTTTTTTTGTACACCCAGTGAATGCCCATGGTAGGCATACATGTCTGATTTGAATGAATTCAGGCACTATTTGCATGTTGCAACACGTTTGGTCATTTATCAATCTTTTTTCACCGAGAAAACTTCAGAAAATATTAAGCTTGTAAAAAACGGAAACAACCTAACATGATGGCATGAATTGGTGATACAAGGTGATGGAAAAAATTAAGGCCATTTGGCGAATGCGAAATATCAGGTGTTCACAAACAGACCCTTTTGGCCACCCGAACACCCTCTGTCTAACATGTTTTTTGTTATACATGTGAGGAATGGCCCTAAATTTTGCCACCAATGGTGTGTGTGTGTGTGTGTGTGTGTTCCCATAATAGGTATCCATGCCTGGTTTGAATGAATTCGGACACCGTTTGCACATTGCAACACGTTTGGCTATTTATCGGGCTTTTTCACCAAGAAAACTTAAAATACATAACTTCTTGAAAACGAAAACAACTTGACATGGTGGCATGAAATGGTGATACAAGGTGATGGAAAAAATTAGGGCCATTTGACGGATGTAACAAGCCAAGTGTTCACAAACTGGCCCTTCTGGCCTACCCGAACACCCTCTGTCTAATAAGGTTTTTTGTTGGACATGTGAGGAGTGACCCCAAATTTTCCACCAAGGTGTTGTGACAGCCTGATTTTTGCCCTCTTTTCTTGGCTTGATTTTCAGTTGAGTTGATTTTGGATT